TTTAGTTTCAAAATGATAAGTTTTATTTTTAATTTGTTTTTTTCAAGTATTTTGGGATTTTTTAAGTGAAATTTTTAATTAAGAGTAAAAACTAGTCGGCGATGCCGATTTGAGTTCTTGCAGCGCGCTTGTGTTTTACTGTTTATTGTATTTTTCTTATATTCTTGTTTCGAATTACACTGCGCAGCTGCAAGCTCGCTACACTGAGTTGATATTTTATTTTTTGCTTTTGTTTTTTTTCTTTTTAATTTTCTTAACTTCTATTTGTAATAATAATTTGTGCAAATGTATGTAACAGGCAGAAGGAGGCGTGGCAATATATATATTCTTGATCAGGACGACAAGCCGAGTCGATTGAGCCCTGTCCGTTTGTCTGTCTGTCCGTATGTGTGAACGCGTGGATCTCAGCATCTATAAGAGCTAGATAACTATTCGCATTTAATTATTATCGAATAAAAACATTGAAATGCAGTTAATAAATTATATCTCGGACGTCTTAAGAGCTAATTTTGTATTTAGTTTTATGTATATTTTATGCAATTTTGATTTTTATTGGATTTTTGATACTGGCTCGAAATTTCCCCAAATTCTTAAAATTTATGTGAAAGCGTTTGCATCTCAACCAAGCCAATAAGATATGTAGATCATATGCTGAACATTTCATTAAAATCCATTAAGTAAAACAGAAGTTATTAAACAAAATTTTTCCCCAATTTGCAAAAGCACATGTCAGCAGCGCCACGCGCACGCATTTTTCCTATGCGTGTGCACACATACATTCAAATGCGTGTATTCTTTTCTATTCCAAGAATTGAAATTGCGATTGAATTGTGCTTATGTTCAAATTTACATCTGCTCGCGAAAGCAGTGCAGTGGCCGCGTTGGTAGAGGCGGCGCTCGTATGCAGCTCGGTCCGGGTTCGAGACCAGTGGAGATGAGACGTTTTTATTGTTTTATTTTTTTTTTAAATATGAAGTAGCGGTGTTGGTAGAGTTGGTGCACGTTGCGCAAATAATCCGGGTTCGAAACCTGGTCTCGCAATGTCGATTTTTATTTGTTTTCTTTTTTTTGAATACTCGATACAAACTACGGAAAATATTAAAAAACTCAAAGGACTGGGATAAGGGTATCTCCTAGTCGGGCACCCCGACTAGAGCTTTCTTACTTGTTGTTTATTTAATTCGTTGTGTTTTTTCTTTCTTTAACTTTTCTTATTTTTAATTCGATTTCAATTTTTCTTAAACACTATTTTCTTTTCCTTATAGGACTATGGTTGTCGCGAACTCCATTCCCGGTGATGCCGAATTTTGGAACGTACTCTGCAAACGGATCGTACAGACTTTGAGCCCACGTTGCACAACTTTGCGGCGATTCATATTTTTTTTTTTTTTTTTTTTTTTTTTGAGTACGGATTGCAAGCGCGAATTGAACACTTAAGATATTCTGTGTCTTATCGAGCCAATTATTCGCGGATTACTGCAAGTTTGAATTGAACACTTAAGAGTCGTTTTGTCTTATCGTGTCAATTATTTGTGGCCGATATGCGTAACTTAGTTGACGTTTTTCACTGTTGTTCACGCTATCGGTCCCTGCTCGGGCGCCAGTTAACATTAATTAAGCGAATATTTATTTTGACATGTGGATCTGTTTATTTCAAATTTCGGACTGAATACTTCTTAAGACAATACTACCTTGGCTAGCTAGAATTTGAGTTTGCAGCGGCAGCGCTGCTGATGACGGCTGCAACGTTGCTCGCATCCGGCGACGGCTGGATTCCTAGGAATTGCAGACTGCTGAGTTGCAGGCTGCTGATTAGGCGTTTTGGGCTAGTGTGCTAGTGTGCGATAATTTTGTTGTTAACTTATATATTAAACTACCTCATTACTTTACTTTATTTGTTTCATAAACATGCTGTTCTGTGTATTACCCTTTTTTGTGATTTCACTAGGTTGTTTGTCACTGGGTCTCACCTCATATTACATGATGAGTAATATAAGTGTCGTAGGCATCCCTAGCGATCGCTGGGTCGTGTGCCGGCTGCGGCAATTTCCACTGTGGTGGTGTGTGTAGGTAGGGTCCCTCTTGTAATAAACGCTTTTTATGTAGCACATATGAACACGGCTGCTTTGTTTTGATTCTTGATTAGAAGTAATTTTATATTTTTGCCAGCACTCTGCTGTTGTCGGTGGCAGCGCTGCTCATTACTGTCGCAGCATTCTCTGTATTCGGCGGCGGCAGAATTTTTGGGAATTGTAGAGTTTTTACGAATTGCAGCCTACTGAATTTTAGGTTGCTTTTTCTATTTTGGATTTTGGGTATCAAGTTTCATGCTGTTGCGCGGAGTGAGTTTGGTCTGGGTTAACTGACCCGGCCGCAAAGGTTTAAGTGGGTTCGTGGAGTACCGCCACCGATAACTAGCGCACTTTGGAAAATGGATGGTGCGTTTTTTTATCAGAATGAGGGTCGTGTAAACTCGTTCTGTCCGTTATTCACGGAATAGGCTGTTTTCGGAATAATAATATCTCGTTAATCTCGAGAATAGGGTATTTGTCTGGTAGACTGGCTTTATTGAGTTTCGGTAGTCTATTACCATATGAAATTTCCTTTCACCGGATGCATCTAGTTTCCTAGGAACAATCCATACTGGTGAGTTATAAGGTGACCGTGAAGGTCGAATAATGCCATTATTTAGAAACTCTTGAATTTGATTATGCACTTCATCTTTATTGATATTGGTAGAATTTGGAATATATTGGGGAATTGGCAGAGGTTCTTATTTCTGCTTCAACATTCGTAACGTAGGTTCATTTTTCGTTTGGGTCCGCAAAGAGATTACGATATTTCTGGAGCAATTGGTCAAGGTCTAGTTTTTGTCCGTCCTCTAAGAGTTCGGTCCTGGGCATGATTGTGTTAACTGCTTCGTATTTTTTTCTTTTATCTGTATTTTTTTGTTTTCCTTTAATTGTCATTACGTTGTGGGGCACGTCGATTAGTGCTTTTAATCCTTAATGCTATCGTTGCCAAGAATGGAATCAAATGATTTTAGGGTTGGTAATAGAAAAAAGTTTCATTCTGGATAGTTGAATAAATTTGTGGTGTGTTATTTCGATGGTATCTCCTACAGTTATTGCTTTAAAAGGTGTTTCGTGTTGGATTTACATGCTTCGGTTGTAAGTAGTTTCTGTTTGAACTAGTATCGATGAGAATTTTGAAAATGTTGTAACCCTCCACCCTACATTTGAAATAGGATAGCGAGGAATCTTTCATTCTAAAAAATTCAAGTCTGAATCCGGGTAATAGTGGTTTCTGGTTCGTTGTTTACGTTCGCTTGCTCAAAATACTCTGCCAAGCTCATGTCTTTTTTTTCTTGGTTGTTAACTTCTATCATTGCTTGCTCATATCTTCTCTGTCTTTTCCCGTCTTGGTTTAGGGGGAATGTTGGCCTTTTTACCGGTCTCAAACTAAGGTCTTTTCATATAGTTAACCATCTTTGTTTGCACACTATGGTAAACGTCGATTGGTTCTACTGGCTTGACAGCAGTCGCATGGGCTGGGACTACTGGTTGGGTCTGTCGATATTGGTTGGGTTGGGTTGGTTGTTGGAAAATATTGTTGTTGGTGACCGAATTGGTTTGGTCTACGCGGAGGAACTGAAGGTGGATTCTGATTCTAACTATATTGGAAATATATAAGTTGGGTTGTTTGATGGAGTCGATATAAACCTACGAAGTGCCGGAATTGGGTTCTGGTCTATGTTTCTGAATTTCACCTTTTGCTGTCTATTGTGTGCGTGGGTTGTCCTATAGGCTTGGTTTTCTAATTTTAGACACAAATGCTATGCTTGCGGCAAGTCAGTTATTTCCTTTATGCCAAGAAGGCATGGTAAATCACCATGTAGGCCTCTTATAAGCGTAGCGTATCTAATGACCTATTCATACAGGATTTTGGCATAACTACCTCAGCTTGTATGTCTAAATTCATACAACTAACCTTATTGAGGATCAAATATATGGGTTTGTAGATATTCTGGTAAAATTCCTCAACAGTCTGTTGTCAGTTGTGTGTCATAGTGGTTAGTTAGTACGCAAGTGTGCTTAGGTCACGTTTGTAATAGATTTTGATTTGATTGTTTGTTTTATTTTCTCCTTAATTTCGTATTAATTATTTCATTTATTTTTCTTTCAATTTATTTTCACTTAATCACTAATTTTCGTTCTCTTACAGAATTATTGTTGGTGCGTGGTCCATCTCCGATGATGCCAAATTAATCTCTTTGGTATCCCCTACTCGCGGTTCAGCGGTTCATACGTTATTTTAAGATGTGCTCTGCGAACGCATCATACAAAGCGTGATCCCACGTTGCGCAAACTGTGGCTGCGATTTGGTTTTGACCTTGAGTGCCGATGTTTGAATTGATCACATAAGATTCGTTTTGTCTTATCGTGTCAATTAATGATTACACGCACTAAGAAACGTTTTGTTCTATCATGGTTAATCGTATTCGCGATCGGTTCTTGCTCGGGCGCTGGCGGAAGTGCTGCTGCCGACTGTGGCAACATTGTCTGCATCCGGCAACGGCTGGATTCTTAGGAATTGCAGACTGCTGATTCGATATTTTCGGATTATTGTAGCGGCTCTTGACCGCAGCGAGTTAACTTGGAAAAAACAGCTATAGCCATAACAATATTCTATACAGAACAGCGAGTGGAATTAAAAATCATTAACTTAAAAAAAAATCATTAACTTAAAAATCATTAACTTTTCTTGCTGAATCAGATGTTAACAACATTAACTAACAAGCTATAGATTAAACTAATCTTTTAAGATCTGAACACTCAATTTTTACATATAGAAAAGTCCAAGCATCATTTTCCGATATTGTTATATAAAATTTGTTTAAACAGCTGTACATTATATTAACTGTTAATAAAAAAAGAATATTTTAGTTTTCAAATGAATAAAAGATATAGATTATTTAAAATATTTATTTTTCAGAGCACATTTGTTTACAATATATAAAAGTTTACATTGTTCGCAAAACTTTCCTGAAACGATCTAAAACAATATTAGCATGAGCTTCTTTAAATACTAAAGCAGGGCGGAATCGAATAGAAATTTCTCCACAGCCACCTGTTTGAACACCGTTTACTCTTAATGTACTGACTATGGAATCCCTTACTTTGCTGTTAGAACAGTTAACAGCTAAGAATGTTCCACGTCCTCGAGTAGAATTTAATAGTTGTGGAAATTCTTTTTCCAAGTTTAATAGACCCTGTTTCAATACTTTACCGGCAGCTGCAACATTTGTCATTAGTTGTTCATCTTTAATAACCTTTAATATTTCTTCCAAAAGCAATACTTTGCTTGGATCGCCCATCCAAGTGTTAAAAATTCTGTAAGGTTCTTTAGGGGCGAAATCGCTATTATGGAAATATCCTCCAAGCTGCAGTTTCTTGCTAAATGTAACGACATCAGGCGGATATTCAAGGTTAAAGTGCTCATGGCACCAAAATTTGCCGGTACTTCCACCTCCAGTTTGAACTTCATCGATCAAAAGTGCAGCCCCGTTTTCCTTACAAATCTTCTGTAAGGCTTGGAAAAATTCAGGCGAAGCTTCATTGTCGCCGCCTTCGCTTTGAATCGGCTCTACAATAACACCGGCCACTGGCTTGTCTTTCTTCTTATAAGCCTCAATTAAACTTTGTACTTCAGTTATGCACTTTTCATCTTCTTTTCTATTTTCCGCTATGTTCTCATCTAATGGATATTTGTATTGCGGGAATGATGCAATTGGCCAATCGAAAGATGGAACATCAATTTTATGAATGTACTTCGAATGTGTGGTGGACAATGCGCCCAGAGTGCGGCCATGAAAAGCTCCTTTAAATGAAAGAATACTAAGGTTCGGCGCGCCAGGCGCCATATTGATCATACATGAGTTCATTTCGTCTGTTGTGAATGCTGCATCTCCTCGAGTTTTATTTTGATACCTGATAAAATGAATGTTTTGCATTTTTTAAAAAATAAATAATTAGTGAACATGAAATTTTCTAAAAATTTTAACGAATGTTATACTGTTATGTATAAATTGCATTTAATTTTGTAAGATATGACAAAACCGCATCAAAAAGATCAATTATGTCCGAAATTCTCATATTCCGTTCAATTTGCTTACATTTTTTTATTTGTAATCAATATGTTGAAAACTCAGACACGTTATATATGCATTGAAGACAAGCAATAACTGTAGGTCCGTAAAAACAGAGAAAAGTAAAAGATATCGAATGAGTTTGTAAGCCTCATTACCACTGTAACATATCATTGTGGTAAGCGCCAAAAATTGGGTGTGACTTATAAGTCGTATATATTCATTCTCATCTCATTAAATATGAAAAATTAATTTACTGATTAATTTATTACATATTAATTTATACATACCAAATAAAAATACTCTTAAAAGCATTTTCATTAGAGCATGAACCACACATCATGGTCGTGATTTTGTTCAATCCCTTTGGTGCAATGTTCATTAAAATCGAATTCAGTTTTTCCGGCCATTCTTTTCCAGGAAACACTCCAAGTGCCGGTCTGTTGATCAGTGCTGAAATAAAACAATGTACATAAGTTTTTATTTGTTAACTTGTAAAATAGTTATAAAAATCTGCGTTTAGGAAAATTACTTCTATTGAACTATGGGATACAGGCACATATCCATATATCAAGAATAAATTTAAACTATTGGAAAATATATTTGCCGCTAAATTCAGCACGAGGTTCATAAATTTCGGTTTTATTTGACTAACTTCAGAAGAATGGAACAAAGTATATTCGCATGTATAATCGCTTAGCAATCTCGCATGAAATAATGCTAATTTCTTCTGGACTCAAACTGGAGATATACCCAATAATAATGAATTGCTTAAACAGATGAATTGAATATACAGACTTACTTTTTAAATTTTTGTCATCTTTAAAAATGTTGAGCAACTTTGGATGATTATAGCCAAGAGGCACTGATGATATTTGAGTGTAAACATCAAGTAAAGCGTTGCCATCTACATCAAAAATATAGTTTCCTGCAGATTTTTCATAATCAGCAAAAAATTGAATGGTTCCAGTACTCTGTAAGATAAGATAAATCAAAATAGCTCTTGAGTATTTTTAAAATATTTAACTATTAAGAAAGCTCTAGTCGGGGTGCCCGACTAGGAGATACCCTGAATATAAGGAAAAAGGCAAAAAGAGGCGTGACAGACCTCATAAAGCATATTTATTCTTGATCAGGACGACAAGCCGAGTCGATTAACCCCTATCCGTCAGTTCGTCAGCATTTACAAAAGCTAGAGACTTGACTGGTAGGTCCGTGTATAGCATGCGCATATCAAGTTTATTACAAATATTCGATGACTATTCGCGTTTTATTGTTATCGATTAAAAACATAACCAAAGAGTTAGAGCCTCCAAATGTTGTATATAGGTTTATGTATATTTTCTATAAATTCTCAAAATTTCCCCCAATTCTTAAATTTTACGTTCAGTTGAAAATGCGGCCGACAAGTGAAGGATTTTGCATTTATACTAATCCATTAGAATATGTAGATCATGTGCACATTCAATAAGTAAAACAGAAGTTATTAAACTAAACGTTTGGCCAATGTGCAGAAGCACTTGGCAAGCAGCGCCAAGCGTATATACATATACATATACATATATATACATATATATATACATTCGAAAAATCGAAATTGCGATTGAAATATGCTTAAATTGTCAACTGCTCCTTATGTTGAGATTTGTAACATCTTGCACAAGCAGTGCCTGGGTTCGAGCCTGGCGGCTTAGGGACATTTTTTTGTTTTTATACCCTGATCCCATTGAAAATGGGAAATCAGGGTATAATGTTTTTGTGCAAATGTATGTAACAGGCGAAGGAGGCGTGGCAGACCCCATAAAGTATATAGGACGACAAGCCGAGTCGATTGTGCCCTGTCCGTATGTCTGTCTGTCCGTCTGTCCGTCCGTCCGTCTGTCTGTCCGTATATGTGAACGCGTGGATCTCAGCATCTATAAGAGCTAGAGACTTGAAATTTTTTTTGTAGGTCAAGTTTGTTTCAAATATTCGATAACTATTCGCATTTAATTGTTATCGAATAAAAACATTATTGAAATGCAGTAAATAAATTATATCTGGAACGTCTTAAGAGCTAGAGCCTCCAAATTGTATTTAGTTTTACGTATATTTTATGCAATTTTGAATTTTGTTGGATTTTGGATACTGTCTCCAAATTTCTCTTCTTAAAATTTAAGTTTAGTTGGAACTTGGGCCATTATGTGAAGGCGTTTGCATCTCAACCAAGCCAACAGGATATGTAGATCATATGCTGAAAATTTCATTTAAATCCCTTAAGTACAAAAGAAGTTATTAAACAAAACGTTTGTCCAATTTGCAAAAGCACATGTCAGCAATTTTCCTATGCGTGTGCACACATACATTCAAATGCGTGTATTTTTTTTTATTCGAAGAATCGAAATTGCGCTTGAATTGTGCTGAATTATTAGCTGCTACTTATGTTCAAATTTGCAACTGCTCGTGTGAGCAGTGCATTGGCTGAGTTGGTAGAGGCAGCGATCGAATGCAAATCGGTCCGGGGTCCGGTGGAGTCGAAACATTTTTTATTATTTTATTTTTTTTTTTAAATTATGAAGTGGTGGTGTTGGTAGAGTTGGTGCACGTTGCGCAAATAATCCGGGTTCGAAACCTGGTCTCGCAATGTCGATTTTTATTTGTTTTCTTTTTTTTTTGAATACTCGATACAAACTACGGAAAATATTAAAAAACTCAGAGGACTGGGATCAGAGTATCTCCTAGTCGGGCACCCCGACTGGAGCTTTCTTGTTTTTTTTTTTAATTATGAAGTGGCGGTGTTGGTAGAGTTGGTGCACGTTGCGCAAATAATCCGGGTTCGAAACCTGGTCTCGCAATGTCGATTTTTATTTGTTTTATTTTTTTTTTTGAATACTCGATACAAACTACGGAAAATATTAAAAAACTCAGAGGACTGGGATCAGAGTATCTCCTAGTCGGGCACCCCGACTAGAGCTTTCTTACTTGTTTTTTTTTTAATTATGAAGTGGCGGTGTTGGGAAAGTTGGTGCACGTTGCGCAAATAATCCGGGTTCGAAACCTGGTCTCGCAATGTCGTTTTTTATTTGTTTTCTTTTTTTTTTTTTTGAATACTCGATACAAACTACGGAATATATTAAAAAACTCAGAGGACTAGAGCTTTCTTACTTGTTTTAATTAAAAAGAGTCGGTGGTAATAAAGTTGTCGCGCTTTGCGAAGACAACGTTGGTTCAAATCTCGGCGTTTTAATGTCGGTTTCTATGTGTTTCTGTTTAATACTCGATACAAACTACTGAAATTTTTATCGGCCAGTGATATTTTCCATGAGCAAATGTATTTTTATGCATTTGCATAATAAATATAATACATATAACAACGTATATATATTATATATAATTATACATAAGCATTTTGATCAGTTTGCTTTAAAACTCTTACCATATATACTACATTTACTTCTCACATAGGAGTGAGTATTGAGCAACTGTTATTTACAGCAGCTTTTATACTAAGTTTAATGAATCCGAACTCTAAAATTTTTAATTCTTCCATCGGTATAAAAAAATAGGATATTTCGCATTATATACTAGATATTCTCTACTGTAAAAGAACTAAACTATGTTTATATGTACATTCACACAAAAGAATCAACAACTAAAAAAAAAAAAAAAATGATATCGTGATATCGTGCCACGCTTTTGTTTATATGAGAGTAGTATATGAGAGTAGTATATAATATAATTATTTAGATTACAAAATAATAACTTGATTACAAGTATATATATAACTTAGTTTTTAAACTGTGTAACTTTTCATTAGCTATTTCCTAACAATATATAATCAATATTTTTATTTATATTTTTAGTTTTTTCTTGTTCTGCAATATATGAAAACTTACCTGTACTGCATTTAATTGATTTTTAAGATCAATAGATTTCGGTCCAGGTATTGTTTTTGTACGCACAATTGGTTCCTTGGGCTCCCAATTGGTGGAATAGGCTTTCATACAATTAACTCCTGAAATTTTTATCGGCCAGTGATATTTTCCATGAGCAAATGTATTTTTATGCATTTGCATAATAAATATAATACATATAACAACGTATATATATTATATATAATTATACATAAGCATTTTGATCAGTTTGCTTTAAAACTCTTACCATATATACTACATTTACTTCTCACATAGGAGTGAGCCTTTGGCAGTACATTAACAAAAAAAATATTACTCATTTTTTGCCCTCTTCTCTCAAAAAGGTTTCATAAGAGAACAATAAATTGGGCGTTTAAACTGCAAATGAAGTTTGCAAGTGACTTATTCCGTCCACATATACATATGGACATAGGAAACTATGTTAAATAACAATTGACAAGACAAATTTTAATTGATAAAAAAACATGATTCTGCGCGAAATACATTTCGGGTATTGGAAGTACATCAGAATCTCAAATGAAATCTGGTTATTCCTAAAAACATTATTAAAATAAATTAATATTAACATAATAATATAATAATATAATAATATAATATTAACTGTAGCTGTACAGATTATTCAACAGCTAAAGTCGATTAAAGTAAACTTTTATAACAAATTTGAGAGACAAAGTACATTGTGTAAATATTATATTATATACTTCATTCCATAATTTATTTTTTTATATATTTGGTGGTGGAATATTTGAAGGCTTATGCCAAATATTATATAATCACAATTTATTCATGAATAGTATCTACACTGAAAGGTATTTCCTAAAGTAAAGTAACAGACATGATAGTTTGAATATAGGTCGAATACACACATGTTTAAGTGGAATTGGATAATTAATAATAATGCTTAATAAACTCTTGAACTTAAGGCAGTAACGAAAAATGTGCAAAAATTAATGAGAATTTATTTGATTTTAGAGTTTTTATATGCTCGTTAATCACGTATACTCTAATAAATCTATCATATTAAAAAATAAATAATAAAAAGTAAGCTTAACAAAGACTTAATATACAAATATATATTTTTACTCCTTTATTCATGAGTAATTAAAAATCAGAGCACTTAATCATTAATAGCCCCCACACCAGTTACGTTCGCATAAAAAATGCATACACCAGCCGGCAGCGGCATCTTGGTACTTTCCTATTTCACTTAATCGGCTAGCAAACCATGAATACGAGTTATATTATTTTCAAGTCTGTCTGTCACCAGTAAGCCACGAGATAAGCTCTTTTGATTTTCAAGTTCTTCAATGTATTATATTAACGTTATTTAAGCTTCTTTCTTTTGGGAATGATGGCCATTTGAGAAGAAATAAAAAGCATTCAGTTTAGATTATGGTGTCGAAAAATGGATATAGATGAATCTCTGTTGTATATTCGTAATAAAAAATATGCTGTTGTATGTGTTATGTGATTAGGGAACTAAAAAACAGATTCGCATCCTTAAGCTCTCACTCCACTGCGTTTCATTTAGAGTAGTTGGTTGATTGATCTACAGTAAAATTCAAAGCAAGTAACAAAATAATTTATTTAAGTTTATTACGGTGAAACTGTAGAATATACAATTATAACGAAAGCTGTCAAATGTTGGGGAATTAGTTTTAAAAATGTGTGAAATACAGGATATTTTCACAATAAGAGCCATAGGAGCCTGAAATGTTTCAGTAGGGATGTTACAACAATAGTGGAGATCAACAGTAACTCAATATTAAAGTATGTATGGATTACGGATATAACTTGTTTTCAAAATATAGAAGAACAACTCATTATACATAAATATACCATTTGCCACGTTTACACATACCGAACTGTAGAAGATATTGACCATAAATAACGTGTCAAATTTTGGGGTTCTATCAATAAAATATAGAAAAATATTGCTTTTTTCAATTGGTAATGCCTTCAATTTCCAGTCCCTTAAATAAAAGCGTAGTGTCAGATATAATATTTGCCACACCCCTAGTGGGCGTGTCGGAAAAATCTTAACGTTTTATAAGACGAAGCGTTCATACGGACAGTCTGACGTACAGACGGAAGGATGTACAGTAAAGCGGACATTGCACAAGGCCAAAATATTTCTTTATTAGCGCGAAGGTATTGTTCAAACGAAGCAAAAAGTTAGTCCACATGGATGCCATAAGCATGTAAGAAATATGTAGTACGGTGTATTATACTAGGATATGCCGCGAGCCACCGATCAGAGTTCTTAAGTCTATACTTCAAAGCTCGTATCTATTCATGCTTGCAGAACATACTCGCAGTTACGCGTATAAGTATGTAGGTATTTAAGTAGAAAAAAGTGTAAGCTTCAACAAATTTTCAACTAAAAACATCATTAAATGAATGTTTGTCAAAAAAGAAGGCATCATTCCCTTTAACAGCATCGCCAATTTATTGTTTGAATGCTAAGTTACATATACAAACTAAAGTAGCAGCTGAAAATTCAAATACAATTCAATCATTGCGATTGCTTCTCTTGGAATAGAAGTGCACGTATTTAAATATATCTGTGTACAAGTTATTAAGTTGTGATCCCGCGATGTCCAACGTCGTCCTCCGATTGTTCTGGCGACGTTCCAGCGATGACTCACTAGTAATTCCAAATTAGGAAGATTACGGTGGGAAACTTTACTTTGTTTCCTTTATTAATTACCGGCCTTGTGGCTCAGCAATGTATCAATTAAATAACAAAAATACGGCTTGGTGCCGGAGTATAATTCAAGACTAGTTGTGTCTTCTTTATTCCAAATTAAACTGAATACAAAATTGACTTGAAACTGAAGTCAAAGCTAAGCTAGAGCAAAAGCCACACAAAGCCCATAGCCGGCAATGCCGGCTCAGCATAACTGATAAACAAATCTACTTGCGCAATGTCAAGTATCATGTTTCCAGAACTGACTTTGTGTCGGGGCATTGCGCTGACTCTGATGTGTCAGCGGAATGCGCATGCGAGGGTAGCTTAAATACTAAGTCTCTAACAAGCGAGGGTTACTTGTTAACTATCCCCCCACTAAGTTCGTGACCGGCCTCGGACACACTGTACTTGTTGATGACTTCTTGCACCTTCTTCGATTCCATTTTTCGTTTGTAAAAGTGGTAGATGACAATAAAACAGCTGAAGGCGGCGCTTAAAATTATACCGCTGATGAGCCAGTTTGCTTGGGAGTCAGATGATTCCAGATCTTCTTTAAACTCGCTGATGACTCGTAAGTTGTGGGTATTCATCAAATGAAGTTCCGGTAAGCTCAGCACAGGGTCATGACTTATGATGTTGAGAAGTGGAGACCCTGCAACGGCTGGACTCTTTTTTACCATTTCTCGTTGGTTGGTGAATTGAGTCCCGTTAATCATGCTGGAGCGTTCAAAGGTGATGAGGTAGGTGCCATGGATGCTGATTTCTGGCCCGTCATCTGCGCTTACTTTCGCCGAACTGTCATTGATGATTATTACTCCGTCATCTACTTCGGTGATGGTTCTTAAGTCGCTGGGTTGAGACCGACAATTTGCCGTGCTTCCGGCATATAAAGCCCGAGCGCAATTATCGCCCTTTGCCACCTTGCATATTGCGCCAAAGTTGGTAGTAGTGCATCCTGAAGTAGCCAAAACATCGCCGTCACAATCAGCTATGATGTTATCCTGTAGCTGTAGTATGGTGTGTTGATGTGATACAGGGTAAATTGCTATCTTGTTACAAACGGATTTGATTTTTGGATATGTGATTAGCACATGGACAACATTTTCGGACTGGAGTACTTTTATGGAAGAGGCTTCCATCAGGTTAACTATAGGGACTTCTGGAGGGTGTTCATTAAGTATTGATTTCAAGTCATTATGATCAAAAATGGTGGGATTTACTATGCCTGATCTAGCGAGAGTGATTGTGAGAATTAAATTTTGTATTTCTGTTGTTAACATTCTGTTTCTTGCCAAAAGTGCCTCATATAAATGTGGGGTGTCTACTAAGTTGGCTTTCTTGGCCTTTATAATTTTATTTACGGTGGAGGTTAACTGATTGATTTGTTTTTGTGTTTCAGTATTTATAACTACTTGCATATTGTTTGCATCAATGAGCTTTGACTCGGACAATTTGATCATCCTGAAATCGGAAGCGTCCGGTGTACCGGCAACCACTTTTAGTACTGTGCCTAGGAAGTCTAAGCTCCTGGCCGTCCTATGATGTACTCTTACTACGGACAATAGACTTCTAATGTGATCTATATCAACGTCTAGAAGCTTTCGCATGTGCGATTGGGGAAATAATTCGGACAACTTATCTGTTTCATCTATAATATTGGTAAACTCTGTCAAATTGCTGGTGTGTCTAATAAGCCCTTGTCGTTCCCAAACTAGTACGTTCCCATCCAATATGGGAATGTAGTTTGATCGTGAGTAATCAGAGATTCGAGAGAACGCTACCACAAGCATGTTTAGAAGCAAAAGCGTACGCCTGTAATGAATGAACAATGAAGTTATAAATAAACCTTTGTGTTCTAATGCCTAACTTAGTTACTATCTGAGGTTGTCTTTATGGACCACCCTCCCTTTAATGAGAACCGTGGTTCCCAAGTCAGCTTCTACCTTTTCTTCCGAGTATAGCGGCGTTAGCTTGTTTCCAAGTCTTTTGTTGTTTTTCAAGAACACTGTTTCGCCTACCTCAAATACTCTGTTTTGTCTGTCTGGGTTGCATCTGTCAAGCACTGCTTGTTGTGCTTTTTGAATTTTTCTCTTTACAGATAGTCTGACTTCTGATGACGTGCCATGTATGATGTCAATCGGTTTTTCGTTTGTAACCGAGTGGATTGACTTGTTGTATTCTACTGTTGATCTCAAAATTAGTTCAACAGTTTCGCTGGCTTTTCCATCTAGTTTTAGACTTCTGGCTATGTCAGCCAGCGTACTGTGGAAGCGCTCTACCTGTCCATTGGAACTGCTGTGAAGCGGTGGTGCATTTACAATGTCTATATTGTAGTTGTTTTTCAGGAATGATCTGATCATTTCTGAGTTGAATGCAGCTTCATTGTCACAATATATGGTTCTGATTTCAGGAAAGATATTAACTAGTTGTATAATGTGTATTTTTACTTCCATTGCTGTTCGAGATAGAAGTGGTTGTACCACAGCAAACTTTGAGAACTTGTCAATGCAAGTTAAAAATAGTTTGTTGTCGGTGGAGAATATGTCGATGTGAAGAGTTTCGCCTGCGTATGAAGGAATTGGTGTAGTACCCAATTCCTGTTTTTGCGGGTGTCTGTCATATTTGGATTTTGTACAAACTTTGCAATTAGCAACAGCTTCTTTCGCTAAATTAGTCATTTTTGGAAAATAATAGTCACGAAGGATTTGCTTAGTA